CCCAATCATTCTACTGTTGAGGTGCCATCCGTTCACCCAGTTCTGTTTTTTGGATCCCTGTGCTCATGACCTCACACCTCTCTGCATGTTCCCCTCAGAGGAACTCCTCCACTCTGAACACCTGGGTCCCAATGAATTGGAAGCCCCTGCCCCAGGGGGCAGCAGTGAGGACAAGGGTGGGCTGCAGCCTCTGGATTCCAAGGACGGTGAGTTAACCCAACTATAAAGAATCTCAGACTTTGGGAGACAGGCCCCCAACCTCAGTTCTAATCTCCTGAAGTCTGAGGGGTCTTAGCCACTGCAGTGAGTGGGAGAGGGTGGGAAGGGATGTCTGAGATTGTGGAGGCCTCTGCAGGGTCCTTGCTCCTCCTTCCTTGGCCCCTGGGAGGGTGTTCCCCATACTTTCTCCAGTGATGCTCTCCTCTCTTCACTGTTCCACCTGTCTTGCCTTCTGTGGCTGCCAGCAGACACCCCCATGGCCCTTCCAAAAGGTGAGTATCTCACAGAGTAGCCCCCAGCCACCAAATCCCACTGAGCCCTTGAGCCCAGGCTGGAAAAGGGCCCATGCACTGGGAACCTCCTGGGGTGGAGTCCAGTGCCCCTCTGACCCCCTCCTCAGGTGGGGGTAGCACCGTTCTGGACTCTCAGAAATAAGATAGGATTTGGGGGGTAGGGTCCACAGAACAAGATGCTGCATCCTCTGGAAAAGAGAAGATGTCCCCCCTGGAGCAGTATGAACGAAAGGTAAGCTAGACCTGTGGGTGCCTGGAGATGGGGACTGGTCTCCTAGGTCTGAAGGAGGAGGTGCTAGGGGTTTGACCTGAGGGAAGAAGGAACTGAGGACGTGGACTTCAGGGTCCCAGGGAAGAAAAGGGCTGGTGGATGTCTTCTTGGGGCTCAGGGGAGGAGGAGGCTGGGACCCAGACTCCTGGTTCCCTGACACCTCCTGCTCCCCCAGGTGAATGTGTCTGTTCCAAGGGGTTTTCCTTTCCACTCATCGGAGATTCAGAGAGATGAGCTGGTAAGAGGAGGAATATTCTGTGTACCTAGGGGGAGAGGTCAGAGGACAGTGGCTAGGCTGCAACTCCCAAAGCCACACAGGGCCCTGGTGAGCCTCAAAGATGACCCCGCCCTATCTCCTCTCCCTGCAGGCACCAGCTGGAACAGGCGTGTCCCGAGAGGCTGTGTCAGGTCTGCTGATCATGGGAGCTGGTGGGGGCTCCCTCATAGTCCTCTCTATGCTGCTCTTGCGCAGGAAGAAGCCCTACGGGGCCATCAGCCACGGAGTGGTGGAGGTGAGAGGCACAAAGACCTGGAGTGAGGAGGAGTTCCAGACCCTGGGCGTTGGGGGTGGAGTGAGAGCTGCGGTCAGGTCCCTATGCCCCACTACCCCTCTCCCGCCTCTACTGCAGGTGGACCCCATGCTGACTCTGGAGGAGCAGCAGCTGCGTGAACTGCAGCGTCATGGCTACGAGAACCCTACCTACCGCTTCCTGGAGGAACGACCCTGAACCAGCCCCCTTCACCCCTTCGGCTGAGCCCAGACCTTCTCTCTTCCTGGAGCCCCAGAACCCCAACTCCCAGCCTGGAGGAGGGGTCTTGAAAAAGGTCATTACACATCCTTTGTGAAGGGGCTGGAAATTCTCACTTCCCCTTTCCAATTCCAAATTCCATCCCTGAGAAATCCCTAGGTATTCCCAGCTGCCTCTCCGCTTAGGACCTCCTCACCTTAATTTATTTTGTACATTAATTTATTGTTTCTTAAAGTGGCTACCAACTTGGTCCTAGTGTTTGTTGTTCCCTGGAATCTATCCTCCCACGTGTCCCCCACTAACACCCCAATAAAGTTCTCTTCCCCACCAGGCCATCCTGTGTCTCTCTGGGGGAATCAATGTGTATCAAGCTCTGGACGCTGATGTGCATCTTTGGGCCTCCTTCACCTCTTTAAACTGTAGGAGAGCTCTTTAAATCTGGGTGGGGCCTATGGGAGGAGGCAGGGCCCAGAGAGCTGGGATTGCATCCAGGAGCTTTCCGTGGTGCTGATTTCTAAGCCTCTATCAGCTGAGTTCCAGAGTGGACTCTGAGGAGGCTGGGCTGTAGCAAGTTTCCCCTGCCTTCTACTCACCCCCACATACAATCACATGCAGCATCCACCCCCAGCCAGTGAGCCCAATGAGGAACAAGGAATCTTGAATCCCTCTTCCCATTCCCAAGTCTTCACTTCTTGGGGAGTCCATAGGAGTCCCCCTGGAGCATGGAAATCCAACCACGTGTCCCAGAGTGGCTTATGTGATGTCTGCAAATGCGTCCATTTTGTGACATGTTGGAACTGTCTCTCTACCTATACTGTTACCTGTCTCAAGAGGATTGTTATGAGGATTAAAAGGATTAATATTTGTGGAGACATTAGAACTGTGCCTGTCTCTTCACAAATGTCTGTTGAATAAATTCTAAAATGTCATGGCAGCGAACACTCATATGGCACTCATCATGTTCCAGGCACTGCTCCAGGGGCTTTACATGCATTGGCACACTTAATCATTACTTCTACCCCACAGATTAGGTATCATGACTATCCTCTTATAGATTAGGGAATGGAGGCTAAGAGGTTACATCAGATTCCCAAGATCACCTTCTAGGAAGGGTCAGAGGTAAGATTTCAGCCCAGGAAACCGGGCTTCAGTACCCATACTCTTGGCCATTTCGCTAAACTGGTGCCTAATAATTTGTGACTGTCCCATGTGGTGTTCTGGTTGTGCACTGCAAAATTTCAGGTGATACCATTCATCTAGATTCATCTGTAGATTTGTATTCTCACAACTTCCCAGCAGATGGCAGTAGTGTGCCTTGTTCTAATGTCAGGATTGCACAATTTCCTGACAGATGGCTAAGGGAGGGACCACCTATTTTTAATTCTCCCAAAAGATCTATGAGCTCACAGTGGCTCTTCATAATATATACACGTAAATATAGGTCACATATATTAAATATAGAGGGTAGGTATTGAGGGGAAGATGTCTACATGATGCAAGTTGGATGCAAGGCCCCAGTTTCATTACGAACCCAGTTTGCAACATTATTCTGATACTGGCTATACCATCAAGTGTACCCTAGCAGAAACTCATAACTAGCACCACAAGCAGGGGAAAAACTGCCTTTGTATTTTCATAGCTAAGGGTGGTTAACAGGCTAACAATGGGTAAGGAGCTCCAAGCAGGTGGGATAGACAATAAAAGGCCACTTTGCTCAATATGCTCAGTGCATGATTCCTTAATAATATTGCATTTTAATGGCAATTCTTACAGTAATTAGTTTAAAAACACTGTTTTTATTGAAATTCCAGCAGGAAAAATAACTTTGCTATTGCTCATTTGTTGCTTTTGTGCCCCCAAGCTACTCTTCTTTTCCCACTGAAAACGATTTAATTCTTCTTTTAATAATGCAGTTTCTGGGGGTGGGGGGAGAGTATAGCTCAGTGGTAGAGTGTGTGCTTGGCATGCACCAGGTCCTGGGTTCAGTCCCCACTACCTCCATCAAAATTAATTAACTAGTTTATTTACTATTATGTTAGTGGTGTGTGTGTGTGTGTTGATACATGTCAGGACATACATCTTGTATGTCAACAGAATCAAAAGCGCCATAAATAATAAGAAGTACTATCATTTTAGGTACCACAAAGGAAAAAAATGCAGATGTTAAATTATGCCACATAGTTGACTGTAAGATGAATTCAAATTAAGTTCTTCTTAGAATTGATGAAACACAACATATTTTTATGAATTTTTCATAGGTCAGCTGCCACTATGTGAGTACACACGGAAGAGCACACGCGTACTGGTCCAAGGCATCAGATGTGGAAGACTTGTCCTGGCACCACTGATAAGTCCACCCAGCCAATATTCTTGTCCTTATGTGCTACCCCTCCCTTCATTGATTCTGGGCCTGGTCACGTGACTGACTTTGACCAATGGGGTATCAGCAAGCAGGATGCAAGCAGGGGCTCACTCTCTTGGAAAACTTCTTGGAGCCACCCCGTGGAGAGATCCCCCTACCCTCCTGGAGAGACCACATGGAAAGGGATGCTCGGCTCACTCTCAGGGGTTCCAACATCTCAGCCGAGCTATCAGACACGTGAGTGCAGGTGTCCAACCCCATCGGGCGTCTAGCTGACTGCAGCCACATGAGTGACCAAAGCAAGACTGTAGGACTGCCTAGCTCAGCCCAGTCCAGATTGCAGAATCATGAACAAAAAAATGGTGGTTGTTTTAAGCCTTAAATTTTGGGATACAGATACTGGCACATACCCTGAAGTGTACTTAGTTTGTGGTCTGGGAGGCTCTGAGCAGTGAGGGGCTACAGTGAGTCTGAGGGCTTCCTGGAGTGAAGAGCCTGGGATGGAGGCCAGAGCAGAGGCTGCAGGGCAGGTATGAGAAAGGAGTGCTGTTTGGGCTTCTCCAGAAGCAGAGGCTGAGGCAAGGCTTTGGGGACAAGATTATCTGGAAGGGGTGGAGAACATTCCTAGGGGAGGCAGGAAGTGACACACAAAGGGGAAAGCAGCCAAGAAACGGTATGTTGTCAAGCCAGAGCCACTGTGGGGAGCCAGATCTTCATTCATCGCGGAGCTCTGAGAGCCCAAGCAGAACATGTACTTCCGAGCTATCCCCACAGAGGCGAGGGGCCTGGGCTACTCACGTACCGTCGTCTCCTGCCAGTCAGTCACTGGTTGAGGGCTGCTGGAGTGGCAAGTGGCAGGAATCTCCTGGCATTTGGCTCTTGCCACACTCACACCCAGGGCAAACTGGGCACGGGTGGTCTGAGAATGCCCACAGGCAGATTCCTGTGCTGGCCCTGGCAGTCAGACCAGCAGGCGCTGAGAGGGTGATGGGGTATGGACTGGGCACCCACGGCATCTGCTGTAACACCCACCCAGACACACTCATCCAAACATGATTCCTCAGCCGCGTCCCTGCACCAATGATTAGAGATTACACAATCGTAGCTCTAGTTCAAATTGAGTTTAATAGAGGCTTTCAGACAGGGGAGGGATTCACTGGAAATACTGAGTTCTGGGACAGGGGCCTGGTTGGGTTCTGAATTAAGAAGCAGTAGGACCTAGGGGACCCTAACCCAGGAGAGGCTTTCCTGTTTTAGGGCTAAGGACCTGAAGGGAGCGGGTCCTGGGGAGGTTAAGGGGGTCATCTTAGGAGCTCTACTGGGATGGTACTGGAAGCTGTTTAGGAGTAACCCAAGTACCATGCAGGGGAATTACATGTGGGGTTCCAGGCGTAAAGAACTGAGTTAGGGGAGGGGATCCCAAAAAATCCCGGTGGGGAAAGGGTTAGGGGTCCAGGGTGTTTCACAGAAACAATCAAGGGGCCTCAATTTCACAGAAATCATCAAAGGGGCCCCTTGTGGGTGGGGGAGGGGTAACATACCACCCCAAATATTGGGGACTGTTTACCCCCCAGCAGCCATTGTGGGGTTTTAATGTAAGACCCCAATGGCAGGACATTCCACATACATTATCATGGATTTGCAACATTAGCATACGCTGGCTGTCCCACAGGACGGTGGGGACTGGAAAATCAGTCCAGGTTCTGGGTTTGAGTCCTAAGAGGACAGGCCTGGGGTTGCCACACGGCTCCTCTTCAACAGCTGCCGGAGCTGTGGACGAGACAAAGCAGGGCGAGGAGTTTGGGAGGCTGCAAGGAGAGGTGGGGCAGACGTACCCCGTGAAGTTGGGGGTTAGAGAGGAGAAGTGAGTGAGGCTAGTTGAGTTTGAAGCTCAGAGGTTCTGAGGCAAGACGTGGGCTTGGGGGTGAAGGTTCATTCACACACTGAGTAAAGGCTCAGGAGCCAGAACTGGGGATGAAGGGAAAGGTGTGGCTGGTAGGAGGTTCCCACCTGGGGACTAGCATTGAGGACGCGGAGTCAAACAGGAGAGGCGAGGGGTCAGAGTCATATTTGAGGTGAGAACAAAATCCCACTTTGAGGTCAGGACTAAGAGTTCAGGGGCAGGGGGCTAAAGGTCATACTTGAGGATCAAAGGTCATTCCTTGAGGTCAGGATTCGGGGTTGGAAGTAGAGGTCATACTTTAAGGTCAGAGTTGAAACAGAGGTCAGGAGGAGCCACCAGTACAAGGCAAGGGATCAAACACTGAGGTCAAGGGGCACATTTTGAAGTCACGGTTGGATAAGGGTCGAAGTCACCTCCTGAGATTACAGGTCACCCTCTAAAGGCAGGAATGGGTGGGGTCAGGAGTTCACCAGGTTAGGTCACCCTGAAGTCAGGGTGGGGTCACTGCTCACCACCTCGGGGCCCGGCCCGGGCCGCAGCAAGTGGACAGGCTGCTCATTCTCCAGGTTGCGCAGTGTTGGATCCGCCCCAGCTGCCAGCAGGCGCCGCACAATGGCCTCCTGGGCCGGCCCTGGGGGCAGGGCGGCCGCCATGTGGAGGGCTGTATTCCCATGGGCCTGGGGACAGCGAAGGGAGGATTGCTAAGGACTCAGACTCAGCTGGCCTGGGCCTCAACCTCACATTCTGCCTCATCCACATCCCACATGCCCCCTTTCACATCCCAGAACCTCCTCCACAACCACATTCCACACACCCCTCGGCCTATGCTGGACACAGGCCCCCAGTCTACGTCCTCATCCTATGTAGTCCCCGCCCATGTCCCATGCATTGTCCCCTCCACAGCCACAGCCCACAGGCCTCCTAATATCCCCCTGCCCCTGTCTGCCATTTCTCACACCATCTGCACATTCCAGCCTAGGCCCCCACCTTCATGTTGACAAAGGCCCGCAGGTCTCCCCGTGGCAGCTCCAGCAGCAGCTGAACCAGAGTAGGGTTGGCAGCCTGCACGGCCAAGTGCAGAACAGTCTTGTTGCTCTTGATCTCCTGTGGGGTGGGGAATGGTAGAGGTCAGGCTAGTTCTCACACTCAGGCCTTCTCTCATGGAACCCGAGAGACTTTAGAGACCCTGTCTCCCCTTTGCAAGCACTCGCGGGTACCAAGGATTCAGCTTTAGCTGACCTGGGCTGTAGAAGCGGCCCTATATGGTTGTATGTGTTGTGCACTGTACAAGAACACCAGGTTATGGGGGTACCATTCAGATCACACGCATCACAGAACTGTACATTTATTAAGACAATTTTCCAGCCGAAGCATCTTTAAGATAAAGACTCCTTTTCCGTTCCTCCAAAGGAGCTCTCTGGACTAGCAGCTGCACTGGCCACCCCACATTCTATTAAACACAGTAAAATGCACCCACATCCCACGTGGGCTGTACTTTACAAGGATGAGAGTTGAGCAGTGTTAATCAGTGGACAACCTAAGCTTGTATCTACTTCCATACTGAATTGTTCTCTTCATCGTTTGAAGCAAATAAAAGCACTTTCCATAATGAGACTTTATTATGTGCCTTTCCTTTTTTTTTTCTTTGTTTTATGAGGGGGAGGTAATTAGGTTATTTATTTATTTATGTCTGGAGGAGGTACGGGGGATTGAACCCAGGACCTCGTGCATGCTAAGCATGCGCTGTACCACTTGAGCTATACCCTCCCCCCATTAGGTGCCTTTAAAGCGTCTGTAATGACAGTAAACATTAAAAATTTTGTGTTTATATAGGGCAAAACAACTTAGTTGGTTCACTAAATAAATTATGAAGAAAAAAGAAAGAGATGGAGAGTAAGTTCTAAATGTCAGTGTAAAAGGACATATCATTGCAATGTGTGGGTTTTATTTGGATCCTAGTTGTTTGTTTTATAAAAAAAGTAAACATATGTCACTTTAGAGCCAAACGAAAATTTGAACACCGTCAGGATATTTGATATTATGTATGAGACGGTTAATTATTTTTAAGGTGGAATATTTCTTATCTTTTAAAGACATACAGACATTTATGGATAAAATCTTATGCCTGAATTTGCTTAAAAATAATACAGGAGAGCAGAGAAATGGATGGGACAAGACCGGCTATGAGTTGCTGGTTATTGATGTTGGGTACGTGAGCTCATTATATTACTTTCTGTACTTTATCTGTGTTCAAAATTCTTTAACTGGAAAAAAAAAAAAGCCCAAAACAATGAATGGATGTTTAATTCTCAGCCAGCCTGTGAAGGAGTTACTGTCAGGAAGGAGGAAGGTATAATTATTAAAAGCTAGATTTTGGGGTCAGCCCACCTGAGTTTTAATTCCCTCTTTGACACTCATAAGCTATAAGATTTTTGAGTCCTTGTGCCTCAGTTTTTTTATCAGTGAAACAGAGAAAGTAATAATGGCACACGCATCAAAGGGTGTTTGTGGAGATTCAATGAGCTAATCCATGACACTCAGTGCTTGATGACTAGTAAGTGCTTGATAAATATAAGCTAAGGTCAGTAATGTTATTCACAGTTGACAACTGGGGCACAGAGAAGTCAAGTAATGTGCTTAAGGTCACACAGCTGGGAAGAGACAAGTCAGCATTTGTTGAGAGGCCCTGGACATCCAGGAGCCCCCATCCCACATGCCCTCCTAGGGGCCAGCTGCCCACTGCCCAGCTCACCTGGCTGGTGTGGTCAGCACCCATCTGCAGCAACATCTGGACGCAAGCCAGCCTGTCTTGGGCCTGGGTACTCAGCACCGTGGGACATAGGTCAGGAGGGTGCATAGCAACATTGAGGGCCAGGATGGCTGTGTGGAGTGGAGTGAGGCCTGCAGAGTAGAGACAGGGAGGGCTCTGCATCTGGAGCTCTCATCCCACGCAGCCCACTAGCCACACCCACCCTCTCCACCACCCAACTTACCCTCGAAGTCTCTGGCTTCTAGGTCAACGCGAACCCCTGAGTTAATCACAGCCTAGGAGAAGGAAAGGGCAGAGTGCTGGGTTAGAGTCTCCCCAGGTCTCCTAGTTCTGGAAGCTAGGATCTAGGCAACCAGTCCATCTCATTCATCCCACTTCCAGCTGGACATACCGAGAGGACCCTTGGGAGCCCATACGTAGCGGCCACATGCAAGACAGAACGTCCTTGATGATCAGTGGCATTGGGTTCAGCTCCCAGGTTCAGTAGATCCTCCACAATCAGGGGCTGGTTGGCAGCAGCAGCCACCAGGAGAGGGGTCTGCAGGTATCAGGAAACATCAGTCTGGGCCCTCAGCCCCTTAGTCCCCTCCCGTCTGAAAACCAGGAATCCAAGCCCCCAAACCCTCTGCCCTCAGATCCAGAAATCCAAGCCCCTGGCCCTCACCTTGCCCTTATGCTCACGAATGTCCAGATGTCTGTAAGCTTGGAGCAGCTCAGCTGCAGCGTATGCTGCCCAGCGCATCCCCCGAGCCGCAAACAGGTGCAGGAACCTGAGGATGAGTGGGGGGCAGCAGTGAGCACAGCACCCTAGCTGAGCAGGAAGCCTGCAAACTCCACTCCCCTATACTCACGTGTCTCCCTCCTCATCCTGGGCCAGCAGGTTCTGTGGCCCTAAAGCCAGCATGTGAGCACGGGCAGTGTCCAGGGATGGTCCGGTGACCACAGGGGGCAACTGTGGGGGTCCTGAGGGGAGTCCAGAACCTCTCCAGGATCCCGTCTGTGGCAGGGAAGGGTCTACATAGAGCCGGGTATCCAGGGGCTCCTGAAGGGTGTAGGTGGTGGAGAGAGCCAGTCAGCTGAGAATCCCCTCTTCCTAGCCCACCACAGACATATACACATACAGAGTGCCAGGTAGAGTGGTTGGGTGTCCCATTTGTACCAAGTGACCCTGGACCTTTGGGCCTCAGTTTTGCCCATCTGAGGAATGGGATCTTAATCTAGCCCCAGACATCTCAGGATGCTGCATGAGGACAACTGGGAATCTTGGGGGCCCTTCAGCATCCTGTTCCCACTCTGAATCTCACCTCCATCCCCGGGGGAAACGGACACGGCCGCCCTGGGTCCGAGGGTGGGTAGAAGTCAGGAGCCAGGAAAACGTCAGCAGCAGAAGCAGGGTAAGAGTAGTGGCTGTCTGTGTAGGCAGCATGCGTGTTGGGGTTCCAGTCTGGAAAGCCCGTGGAGGGGGCCAGGCTGCCAAGTCCAGAACCCACAGTCTCCTGGTGTGCTGGGAAGTGAGTATGGCCTGCATGTGAGAGGAGGAGCAGGCGCAGGCCTGGTTACCAGAGTTAGGGAAGTCACAGTCCAGACAGAAACCTGGAGTCTCCCAAGTTACTGAAAGCAAGTACTTCTGGGGCACCACAGGGCTTGGACCCAGAATCCTGGGACACCAAGGGGTTGGAAGTTTGGATTTTGAGGACCTAGGCACCTGGGACACTAAGGGGTTGAGGGCCTAGACTCCTAGAGCACCGAAAGGCTGGGAGCCTGGGCCCCTGAGACTTCGGGAGATCAAACTTCTTCCAGGTCTCAGCAAGAATCAGGGCCTAACTCCTAAATTCCCTAAATTTCTGAGAGTTGGGATGTTTGAGTCCCTGAGGGAAGCTGGGGCTGGGAGCTGAGGGAACCAGGTAAGTTTCCAGACTTACTAGCTTCACCTTCATTCACAGATGGAGCCAGAGGCTGGGCCAGGGGAAGCGGGAACTGTCCCTGTAGAGGCAGAAGCAAAAAGAAACAAGGGTGAATTTATCTGGCAGAGTCCTCAGCACCCATTCCCCAACCTACAGGGCATCTGAGTCAGCCCTGAGGGCCCAGCAAGGCAGCAAGCCCCTGCCCAACAGACATGGCCTCATGGGAGTTGTAGTTTACAGGGCTTCACGGGCCTCACCGGTAGCCCAGCAGCGTCAGGCTGCTGCTGGCGGCGCCTCTGTTCTTCCAGGAGTTTCTTCACCGTCTGTGATGGGCAGTGGCTGCGCTCATTCCGGCTCACTGCGGGGTGAGGTGGGAGGGAAGTTATCAGGGGTCCTTAAGTCACCCAAGTACGCGGGGGCGTGGATTTGATCGCCCTCCCGCGCGGAAAAACTGGCACACTGATGCCGCCTGAGAACTCCAAAGCCAATCTAAGATTTCGAGTGCTGCGCCGCCTCCGCCGTTTCCTTCCTTTTGCTCCGCACTTTCCCCTCTGACCCAACTTTCCACCAGCGTCGTGGAAAATGAGGAAGGGGGTGGAGGGTGCCCTCTGCTGCAACCCCCCCCCCGCCACTTCCGTGAAAAATCCCACTCCACCTCACCCCCAGATCTCCCAATACTGAGGGATTCCGGGCGTCGCCGGACATCCCTTCCCAGAGACGCACATATCCCAATTATCTCTCTGCTCTGGAAGCTGCCCTGATACCCTTTCCTCAAGAAACCAGCCATCCGAGTCCCCAGCCCCTCTCTCCGAGAAACCACGAAGCCGATAGCCCCCTAGCTCATCAGGGATCCAAAGGTTCAGACCTCGCCCTCTCTTCAGGGCCAGGAGCCCAGCCTCAACCCGAAGGAGTCTGGGAGACCCGCACCCTCTTCCCCAGGACCCAGAAGTCCGGGCTCTCAGCCTACTTCCCCCTAGGACCTGGGAGCCCCAGTTTCCAGACTCCTGGTTCGCACGACCCAGGAAGGCCAGGCCCTCAACCCTCAGCCCTCACCCTTCCGAGCTCAGTTCCGGCTGAGAAAGAGTTAAGCGGAGTAGGGCGGGCTCGGAAACAGCCCAGACGCGACGCGCTGACGTCACAGAGCTCACGCAAGGGAATCTTCCACCTCCCTCTTCCTCTCTGCCCCGCGCCCCAGGTGTCCGGCTCTGAGACGCGATGCGTGGCCAAGCGTGGTGCACGTGGGGAATTCCTCCTCAGCCCCGGGACC